ATATGAGGGAAAGGAGATGCAACATGGTGGGTTAAGGGGGTAGGAGAAGAGTAAATGAAACAAGATGGGATTGGGAGGGAGACAAACCATAAGTGACTCTTAATCTCACAAAACAAACTGAGGGTTGATGGGGGGAGGGGGGTTGGGAGAGGGTGGTGGGATTATGGACATTGGGGAGGGTACGTGCTATGGTGAGTGCTGTGAAGTGTGTAAACCTGGCGATTCACAAACCTGTACCCCTGGAGATAAAAATATATGTTTATAAAAAATAAAATTTAAAAAAAACCATTTAATGGGATACTTCACAATGTTTCTGACATATCATTTTGAAAATCATGTTCTATATTAACCCAGATAAACCTGTCTCACCAATTAAAGGAGTAATGAATACTAACCTCTGCAGCACACTGATTTGGTTCCCAAAGCATCTCCTACAAGATCCAAGGACCTTAAAGACACTTAGGGCAAGCCAGAGTGCAAGGGAATCAAAGGATTCCATATGCACGCTAAGAAAGAACACATAGTAATTCCTAACCATGTATTTTCTTTTTAGCATTTCCTAGCTTCCATATATTGACCATACCGCGATACCAAACTACTTTAAAAGAGAGAAAGAGAGTGTGTGTGTTCTTTCTGGCAGGAACATTCATTTCTACATTTTCAAGTTTCTGGATACTGTTCAAAAGTGCATACGTGCAAACACATAGCAAAACAGGATGTTTGAAAAAGAACTCAGAGATATTTGTTGGCAGTGACCATGCTGATCTGTTCCCTTGGCCAGGTCCTGAGTGTTAGGAGTCAGTCCTAAAAGGATGGATGCCAAAGGTCCAAGTAAGGTGGTGAGGACGGCATGTTCAGGGGCTGCGGATTTTCTAAAAGGTGGAGAAAAAGTGGATTAGGGAGTAGTCTACACTGGCATTCAGATTCTAATAAACCCAGATTTTCCCCAGGACAGATTCAGATTTTCAGGTTTTTTCCCCACTACCCTTGCTGTGAAACCATACTTTAAGATATGCCTTAGAAATACTCTAGACTACAGAAAGCCATTAACCTCCTACTTCCTGGCAGAAGAAGGGAAGGGAAGAAGGGTCTGAGACCTGATCCTTCGCTCCTCTCTGGTCTGTAACCATCATCCCCAATGGTCAGGGGACTCTCGCATGTTTAGTTCCACTGAAGAGGACTATGGGTAGAACAAAGAGCAGTGCTTACCACTAAGAGCTAAGGTAAGGGTGGCATAGAGACAAGAAATAAGGGATCAGCACCCCTAACCCTTGTGTTTTTCAAGGGTCAACTGTATTTCAAAAAGGGAGGACATTTTTCACAGGAATTTTATTACCTGCTTTTGAGAAAAGGAAGGAGGATCCCTCCCTGCCCCAGCAACAACGCACTGCCTGCCACTTGCAGTCGGTGAGAAACTGCCACAACCTCAAACTCTTGTTCTTCTCCAATAAACTTTTGTTGAAAACAACCCTCCCCAATTTCCTCTGAAAACATTACAAAAGCTGAGCTTCCCTTTTGGACTTACCTATGGTTTACCATACATTGCTTGTCCTGAACTACAATTCCTCTGTTATTCCCAAATAAACTTATTTTTTATCTTAAATAAAACTGCTCTTGCTCTGCTTAAAGTTAACAGCATAAACCATGGAGTACATCCCCCATGGGTAGTGCTCAACATGAAACTCATTTTGATTCTGTCCCACTGCGTTGCATTTAATGAGTAGTCTTCCCTATTCATTCCCTATTTTTCTTGTCTATATTGAGGATTCCGTATCCCCAACTCTCTTGTTTTATTTTTTTCCTCAAACTCCCATTATTTGTCCTAATTATCTTCGCATTTACCGGGGCTTGTAGCTTGTAGTATGACCCATTATTTAAATGTTACTAAATTTAGCATTAAGAGTACTTATCATCCTATAGCTTATCACACCTCTCAAGAACTGTTGCTCTTCTGAGGCCAGTGATTACATATTCTTTGGTGAATTACTTACAAATCTTTTACTCCCCAAACTCATCAGTTTCCTAAAGGTCAAGACCATTATTGCCTGTAATTGTATTGGTCTTGTCATCTGTGACACTGAATCATGACCAACAACTGTGAACTACGGTACGCGTGTCCAGAGCTCTGCTATTTGGGAGGCAGGGGGCTAAGAGGGTGCTGGGAATAGCAACCTAGGAATGCCTCAAACAAACCTGCAGAAGAGAGCAAAAAGGGCTTCCCTCGGTGTAAACTGCTGAAAATATCTTGTTTTCCTTGTCATTGAAGAGGTCAATGAAGAAATGGAATACACCCTTAAATAACTTATTACCTTCTCAAACAAAAGGAAAATAATAAAGCTTAAAATGACAAACAATTAATGCCACGAAACTATGTATTGGAAAATAATTAACTCCATGATCAACTTCCTATAGAATTCAGAGGAGGAAGGGATTGGGGTTGGGTCTTTACAAGAGACTGGATTGGTTTGAAGTTTTGAAAGACTGATTGAGTTTAAATAGGCAGACATGGGGTGAAGGGTAAGTAACGATGAAGCTCTGTTGCCTAGGGTAGTGTTTTATATTTGAAACTGATGCAAATATTTTATGCTTCAGGTTCCCTCAACACTTGGTATTATGTTGCAGTAAGTACTCAAGGGAAAACAATCTCATGGAAAACACCCTCAAAAACATGGCAATCTCAACTCCATAGAATTGGAAAGCAAGAATAATCTTCAGAAGAAATTGGGGGAGAGCTAAAGATATAACACTATTATTACTGCGTAATGATGTCCTACTTAGAGGACATATAAAGATCATATAAGAAGTTTCAAATGTAGGACCACACTTAAAAAAATTAAAACATTAACAATGCAAAACTTCATCTTTGACCATAAACTTATCATTTTCAAATTTGAGAATAAGTACTTCTCTAAAGAGAAGACACTTGTTTCTCAAGTTTTAGTTCATAGGATTGGTGGCTCAGAACTAGAAATTTATATAATTTGCTTTTACTCACATGGTTCTTTAAACGTGTGGGTTTTTGTTTTGTTTTGTTTTTAGTTTTTGTATTATGTGATGGCAATTATATATGCCAAAAGCAATGTGGTAAGAGATGGAATTAGCAATGCTATGGTTGTCTCCCTTTTGAGTTTGGTTATAATTTAATACATCTGAAATTTGGTTCAAATGAAATAGCATTTTAAACAACTGAGGCATCTCAGCCTTTTCCAATTTCATTGTGCTGCCTGAACTCATATAGCCATTGAGCACAAATTTAACTCAAAGCACTTGGTAATATCATCTTCTTTATCAATGACTATTTCCAGAAGTTTGTAATTAATAACTCAACGTAATATATGGTAATAGTCAATTACTCATTTTTTTTTTAAAGTACTGATCTCAACATTCAAACCAACTTCCTAGAAAAATGGCACTGTTCTACCCTTGAAAAGGCACTTTCAAGTTAGATATACTGTTGTTTTCTGAGGCCGTGATATTGTGATTTTATGAGAAATATATTTTGGTCATTTAGATAATCAATATATATTTGGTCTTCCTTCATGGTTCTCAGCTCACATCTCCCAAAACCCTTGAAATTTCCTGGTCAATAAGAGCAATGAGAGCATCTTTGTCATAATTTTTGGTCTTGTACCCCATTCCTGAAGTCAGTTTAGAGACATAAAGGTTAAATAGGTGCCTTGTTATTTATAACAAACTCCTTTCCACCACAATTGGGTTTATGTTAATGAAGTGACTTTTGGAAAGCACCTTCAGATGGAAGTTGGTTGCTAGGGAAACCAACCATAAACAGAGGGGTGGAACTTTCAGTCTCTCCCTCTGATTTCCTGGGAGGGGAGATTAAATCAATCACCAATGAGCAATGATTTCATCAAACATGTTCATATAATGAAGCCTCCATAAACTCTTCACGGGACAGGGTTTAGACAGCTTCCGGTTGGTTAATGTGCATAGATTTGGGGAGTGGTACATCTGGAGAGGGCATACCCTTTCCCCACTCCCTGTCCTATATATCTCTTCCATCTGGCTAACCCTGAGTTACACCTTTTATAATACGATCCAGTAAGCAAAATGTTTCTCTGAGTTCTGTGAACAACTCTAGCAAATTACTCAAACCCAAGAAGGGCGGGGATTGGGGGCGGGGGGGGGGGAGTTGTTGGAACTTCTGCTCTATAGCTGGTCAGTCAGACGCCTGAGCACCAACCAGGATGCGATTGGTATCTAAAGTGGAGGGCAGTCTAGTGAGACTGAGCCTTTAACCTGTGGTATCCGGTGTTGTCTCTGGGTAGGTAGTGTCAGAATTGAGTTAAATCGTAAGACATCCAGCTGCTAAGAGAAGCTTGGGGGTGGAAACCCCCCTGCCCCATCTTAAAATGGGTCCAGAACGACTTTTAGATCCTTTTTTTGCTTTCTTCCTTACTTCCTAAGAAAGAAAGTAATTGTATTTTTAATCATTTTGGTCACTGACACCTTTGCAAGTTTGATGAAAGTTACAAACCCTCTCCTCAGAAAAATGTATATTAGATACAAAACTGCATCAATTTTCAGGGACTTCATGGATCTCCCTGAAGTTCATCCATGTATCCAACAGGGATCTGTGGACTCTGGGTTAAGAGTTCCTGCATGAGGAGAGTTCAGAGTTTGGGTGGTTAGGGTACTCCCTCACCAAAGAAACTGGAAATTCCAGGCAGAATGCTCATTCAAGGGCACCACAGAGTGCCCTCGGTGTTTCCACTCCATTGCCATGCATAGTTTCCTTACCCATTCTCTGAGTCCGTTAATCTCTGAACTGGCTCAACCAGAGGGCTACTGAGCTACTTAAGCTTTGGGACCCTGCATATTTGCATATAACTACCCTTACCCTCCCTCTCAGGATTGCAAGAGAGCTGTGACATTCATTCGACTTGTGACAGTTCTGTAATTCCAAATTTGCTCTAGTTTGAAAAAACTCTGCATTAGGAATTATTCCTGCATCTGTCTAACGTGAATCACTATTATTGCAGGGAGGCAGCAAAGAGAATGTCGTCTATAGTTCAGCAGCAGGAATATAACCCTAGTGACCCTCCGTTTTGGTTTGGCTATGATTATGAAGGCAAGCCCCTTAAAAAACAAAATGAGGAAACGCCACTTAAAGGAGATGAAGAAGTCATACTGACAGAGTCAACACACAATAGTGAAGAGGAACTAGCATGACCTTCAGCCTCAAGCAGGAAGAAGAAAAAAAATCTAGAACTTGATAACTTCATCTGATACAAGTATTTTTACCAGTGGGATCGCAACAGTGTAAACAAGCAGCAAACCATCTCCTGATTTTTTTAGTCCAACTTCAGATATTTCTAAATACATTATTAGTTCTTCTAATTGGTTTAATCATGATTTTTAAAAGCCAAATCAAGTATTGTTACTATGAAATTTTCCCACTTAAATTTATGTTAATCAAATAGTTGTGATGAGATTACCAAATCCAAGGTTACAGTTATATAAAACAACCCTGAGAGATATAACGGTTTTTTTTGTTTTGTTTTTTTAAAGATTTTATTTATTTATTTGACAGACAAAGATCACAAGCAGGCAGAGAGAGAGAGAGAGAGGAGGAGGCAGGCTTCCCACTGAGCAGAAAGCCCGATATGGGGCTTGATCCCAGGACCCTGGGATCATGACCCGAGCCTAAGGCAGAGGCTTTAACCCACTGAGCCACCCAGGCGCCCCGAGATGTAACGTTTTTTAATAAGGAATTTAGAAGCTTTTCTTTACAAAAGAAAGCAGAGTTGGTCATATGAGTCAGCGTAAGAGTTTGAGCCAGGGCAATGATTTTAAGAATCTGTGACGATATAAAAAGTATAGACTTACATTTTTTAACAGAAACAAGCCTTTCTTGTTATTTCCAGATAAGTAACAATAAGAACTAAATGCCATTTGACCCTAGACTCACCTCTACATTTTTTTTTAATTTTTTTTTTTTAAATTTTATTTATTTGACAGAGAGAGAGAGACATCACAAGTAGGCAGAGAGGCAGGCAGAGAGAGAGGAGGGAGGAAGCAGGCTTCCACCAGAGCAGAGAGCCCGACGCGGGGCTCGATCCTAGGACCCTGGGATCACGACCTGAACCGAAGGCAGAGGCTTTAACCCACTGAGCCACCCAGGCGCCCCAACTCACCTCTACATTTGACTTAACAGTCAGGGATAAATTAAATGAAACATGAACTACCTGTGAATTGACAGGAAGTCTGCAATGTTTCAGAAAGGTCTCTTTTTAATCACATTGGCACTACGGAGGAATTTTAAAAACTATGCTATGTCAAAAAAGGTGCTCTCCCTACTTTATGCTAAGAGGTATGGGTTATTGTGTACCTCCTTGTTATTTTTAATAAGCTTTCATCTATGGATTTTTACCACTCTGGGAAAAGATAATAACTACAGAATTCAAATGATTACAGGCTAGTATTATCATTATTGGATATTATGTGATACTACTGTTGATAGGGTCCAGGAAAAAGCCCAGCTCTGTTCTGACTGCCACAAACAAACTGTGTTGGTAATATTGGATAATTCTTTTAACCTTTCTATTTTCTCCATTACTTATCTTTTTTTAAAAAAATTTAATTCCTCTGTAGTTAACATATAGTGTTATCTTAGTTTTAGGTATACAATATACTGATTCAATAATTCCATATATTACTAAGTGCTCATTATGGCAAGTGTACTCTTAATTCCCTTCACCTATTTCACCCATCCCCCCACCTACCTCCACTCTGGTAACCATCAGTTTGTTCTTTATAGTTAAGAGTCTGTTTTTACATTTGTCTTTTTTCTTTGTTCATTTGTTTCTTAAATTCCACATATGAATGAAATCATATGGTGTTTGTCTTTCTCTGACCTATTTCACTTAGCATAATACTCTCTAGCTCCTGGGGTGCGTGGGTGGCTCAGCAGGTTAAATGATCCTGGGGTCCTGGGATGGCACCCTGTGTGGCACCCTGCTCAGCAGGAAGTCTGCTTTTCCCTCTCCCTCTGCCTCTCCCCCGGCTTGCACTCTCTCTCAAATGAATAAAATCTTAAACCTCCCCCACAAAAGGCACCCTTAAAACTCTCTAGCTCCAATCATGTTGCAAATGATTAAATTTCATTCTTTTTATGGCTGAATAATACTCCATTGAATATATATATTCCACATCTTCTTTATTCATTCATCTGTTAATGGACATTTGGGTTGCTTCCATAATTTAGCTATTGTAAATAATGCTGCACTAAAGGATGTATATATCCTTTAGAATTAGCGTTTTCATATTCTTTGGGTAAATACATGAGTGTGATTGCTGGATCATATGGTAGCTCTATTTTTAGTTTTTAAAAGATTTTATTTATTTGTCAGAGAGAGCGAGCACAGGCAGAGGGAGAAGCAGGCTCCTCACCGAGTCAGGGGCCCGAAACGGGACTCAGTCCCAGATGAGCAGAAGGCAGACACTTAGCTGACTGAGCCATGCAGGTGTCACTATTTTTGACTTTTTGAGGAATTTCTGCACTGTCTTCCACAGTGCCTGTACCAGTTCGCATTCCCACTGACAGTGCAAGAGAGTTCTTTTTCTCTATATTCTCACCACTTATTGCTGTTTCTTGTTTTTTATTTTAGCCATTCCAGCAGGTATAAGGTGATATCTCATTGTGGTTTTAATTTGCATTTCCCTGATAATGATGCTGAATGTCTTCTCACGTGTCTGTTGGTCATCTATATGCCTTATTTGGAGACGTGTCTGTTCATGTCTTCTGTCCATTTTTTAATTGGATTATTTGGCTTTTTGGTGTTGAGTTGTAGAAGTTCTCTACGTATTTTGGATATTAACCCTTTATCAGATGTCATTTCAAGTATCTTCTCCCATTTAGTAGGTTGCCTTTTAGTTTTGTTGGTTGTTTCCTTTGCTATGCAGAAGCTTTTTATTTTGGTGTAGTCCAATATATTTTCTTTTCTTTCCCTTGCCTCAGGAGACATCCTAGAAAGATGTTGTTACAGCCAGTGTCAGAGAAATTACTGCTTGTGCTCTTCTAGGATTTTCATGGTTTCAGGTTTCACATTTAGGTCCTTAATCCATTCTGAATTTAGTTTGTGTATGGTGCAGGAAAGTGGTCCAGTTTTCTCAACACCATTTATTGAAGAGACTATCTTTTTCTCATTGCATACTTTTGCCTCCTTTATCGAAGACTGACCATATAATTGTGTATTTATTTCTGGTCTTTCTATCTGTTTATTTTTGTGCCAGTACCATACTGTTCTGATTACTGCAGCTTTGTAAAATAATTTGAAATCTGGAATTCTGATACATCCAGTTTTGTTTTTCTTTTTCAAGACTGCTTTGGCTATTCAGGGTCTACTTTGGTTCCATACAAATTTTAGGATTTGTATGGATTTATTTTTAATAGTTTATTATTATTTTTATTTATTTAATTTATTTATTATTTATTTTTAATAGTTTATTCTATAAAAAATATTTTTAGGATTGCTTGTTCTGTGAAAAATGCTGTTGGTCCTTATCTCTTAAGTGAAATTAGTCACTGTCTTCTTGTATCCCACAAATCTGAAGTAAGGGTAAACTCAAGGTAAAGAATATGAGTAATTTTGAAAAATTTAAAATAGGCTACACAAGGTATTGTTATAAGGTTTTCTACATTAGCTAAATGCTTTTAATAATTCTCCCCCTTTAAGGTTGATTTTGAAAGAGTTTTTAAATAAGGTAGTATTACTTAGCTGTAGAATGGTTGCTAGAACCATAGAAGTGGATAGCAGGGGAATCAGCTGAGTAGGAAATTTTCAGACCTGAGCCAAGGAACTTAAGATGACTTAATAGGGTAATTTTTAACTAAATCTAGAGATTCCTGGAAGCTGCAGAAAAACTGGCTTCTGATCCCTAAGTGTTTCAAGCACACAACTGGAGAGACCTATAAAAGAGACAACTGCTTTCTAAAGGAATAAAACCTACTTGGGGTAGATCAAGGGTAAGGAGAAAGATACCCTGTTATGTTCCCTAGAAACCAAGCAGGGTGTTTGGTATTTAACTGTCAAAGCTTGCTCCAAAACTCTTTGAGAAAGATCCTCTTTTAAACAAAGACAGGAGACACATTTGTTCTTTATGAAAAGACAAATTTTATAACTATAAAAATGTAAGAAAAGGGGTAGATGTTAGAAAAGGTGAGCTAAAAGGTTGCCAAGAAGCAGAATGAACATGTGGAGAAATCTTCAAGTTCTCAGTGCAAAGCACTCAAAACATCGAAATTATTACTTAGGTCTTCAGCTCTTAAGCATTTGCTATCCATGGGTGAGTATTCAAGAGACCAAAATATGGCAGCTTATCCTTTCTGTTTGGACTTGACTATGTGATTCAAATATGTACAATTCTTTTAATAATTTTAAATACAATTTATAACTGTTATGTTCATGACCTTTCTGGCTGCTGTTGACTAATTTCATAAACTTTACTTTTAGTCATGAAAATATTTATATAATTGCATGAGGGTGAAAGAGATTATAAAAACTGCCTCACTGCCTTACAGTTTCCTCTACTTAATAATTTAGCACACATACACTATAACCACATCAAACATACTAACATGAATATTGTCCCAACTTCTATAAATTATGATTTCATGAAGATTGAACTAAAGGAGACTTTGAGATATTCCACGGTTTACTTTTTGTTTTGTAACTATAAAGTTAAAAATAGAGCTCTAAATAAAATATTAACAAAGAGATTATTATAAATCATAGTATTTGAGAAGGTTTATTAGAAAGCATTGTTTAAGAACTGATTTATCTTAATCATAAAAGACATAATCCAAAAGATAGGACTATTTAGTCTTATGTAAGTTAAATGTCCCAGAAGTAGACAGGTTTGAAAGAGAATTCAGGAAATAACTTTATACAGTACACTTGTTAAAGTGAAAATCAATCTTCATTGTGAAAAATCGCTGATTGTTTCTCCTCTTCCCAATGCATTATATCTTAAATTACACCAAAAAAAAAAAAGAAAGAAAGAAAGAAAAGAAATCAGTAGTAAATGCATCACATTTTAGATGTTTTTATTCACAGCTTAAATTTACACTGTCATAAGAGGTTCTAAGTAGCAAACATGTTACGAGAGCTGTGGTGCAAGACATTCTAAGACAACTTCTCCCCATTACCTATGCCTTTGTATAATCTCTT